ACATTATTGAAATGAATGGATTTGATGTGAAGACCTTAGTGACCCTTCTGGGAATCTTCACTCTCTTTTCATTTCTTCTGATGCATGTTTTTCACCTGTTGTTGCAGATCTTCCTAGCAATGAATTAAAATAAATATCTCATCACAAATGCCTGCAGATCCTCTGGATGTATTTCCGATGGTTGACTGCACAAATGTTTTATTTTTCAATCCGTTTAACATGAACTTGTTTGCCCTGCTTCCTGGCATTGGAGAAACACTTTGAATTCCAAATGCTGAAATAAAAATTGCTGCTATTGTTTAAAACATGCAAAAATGTATCCTTTATTCAACTGTAAGATTTGTAAATCATTGAATTTCATGGGAGACAAATCATTAGTCAAAGTGCAGACTGCACTAGAGGTCATATTTAATTTATTTTCAAAGCCTTCATTCGTGCTTTTTGGTCCAGTACGTCATAAGTTATTCAATACACAAAGGTGTCTACTTATGTCTCACAATAATTAAGCTGATTAAGTCATATTATCACTAACAAGATGCATTAATTCCACTTGAGTGAACGCTGCAAACAGTCAGTGACATTCCCACCACTTAGATTGAAAACACATTATAGGCAAACTGGGGAGGCAAAAACCTCACTTAGCCCAGGCCTGTTTCTTCATCTGATCCCTGTGGAGGAGTTAGCAACTGATGTTTTCAGAGCAGTAAAAAAAAAAAAAAAAAGAAATGGTGCAAAGAGGCAGAGAAAATCAGCACATGGAAATCAGGCAGACTAAAATTTCAGTGTGGCAGAGGCTAAACTACTATGACAAAAGCTAAAGGATATTTATTTCTACAAAACATCTACTGAGATCAAAAAGGAAGCAGGAGGAAGGGATCCAGCCAAGAACAGCAGGTTGTTCTGTAGGATGAGTCCAGCGAGATATTTAAGACTCCGAGGCAATTTGAAAACAAATCGGGATGGATCTCAACCCGGTAAGGTGTGTTTAATTTCAGCACCATCTTCAAGTGAAAAGAGAAAAAAAGAAAACAAAGACCTGGCATCTTTGGAGGCTGTAATTAACCACCGAGTGTCACAGACTTCACTGTTAATTAACCACCGAATGCCACAGACTTCGGGCTGGATCCAGAACCCTCCAAAGTCAATGCACAGACTCCCACTGGTCCCCATGGATTTTAGCTCTGTCTTGCCAATACCAATCCCTCTGGGAAGCTGAGACCGCCTGTATTCATGGCTCTACCCAGCCTAACCTGGCTGCATGCGGAGTGCTGTGTCCCTGCTGAGGTTTCCTGGGGGCTTCACTGGCTGCTACTTGATTGCATGCATGGCAGACCGGAGCAGAGCTGAGCACCAGCCCCTCTGGGTCCTTTCTCTCTGGCCTCTTTTCTCTTTACCTCTGGATTCGTTCTGTCTCTCTGTCACACGCTTTTAAGTCATTACAGAGATATAAGTAATGTTTCCATCCAAAGAGTCTATTCAGCAACAGCAAGAACACAAAAACCTTCCCTGTTTGCGCTGGTGCCCAGAAGCACTATGTGCCTGCCTAGCATGGCCTGCAGCACTTTGCAGCCAACCGCACCACATGGCAGCTTTCCCGCTGTTGTGGAAGCAAATCCCAAGCTGGCCGGCAGGTCCCTGAAAGGCAGATTTGCCTCTGGATCTCTGAAAGAGCTGCAACGTATGAGAAGGGCGTATAGAGAGTGTTCTGCCGAGTACGTCTCCGAAGCAGCTCTCATGCCCAGTGCGTTACCAGAATGCGGAAACCAGCTAATGCTCATGAACTGCGCAGGAGTATAAGCACGGGAAGAGTTGTAAAAATAACTAGTTGTAGGGCAAAGACCTTGCATTTTTAATGACACCCTGTCCCTGTGGGAGATCTTCAAAGGAGATCTCATCTATTAGATGGATGATTCTGACCCAGCATGCCCTTTGAAGAAGGGATAGTAGCATGGTTGAATTAGGTTTAAGCAAGAGTCCTCTCCCTTTAAAGCAAGTCCCTTTTTATTGTCCTTTTTATGGATATGTGAATTGAGAAGAGAGATTGAAAATGAGCTCTTGGCAGTGCAGGACTTCCTTCAACTAAGCAAAAGGAGATCCTCAGGGAATGTAGGGTGTTGGAGCCTGGGCTGGGCGCTGTGTTGACTCCCAAATCCTTTTTGGAAGAGGCCTGACCTGAACATGCAAACCTGGGGATCAGCAAGAGGTGTAGGGGGGGGTGTATCTATCTCATCTCCTAGGCTGAGGATGGCCCAGGAGTAATGGAGAGGGAGGCAATTTACTGGGGGTTGACACACTCAGAGTGAGGTGGCAAAAGCTGGCCACTTGGTTGCTCAACCCCATGAATTTCCAAAGACAGGGGTGCAAATCATTAATTTCAAATGCCTATGGTTTTTTGGATCAATTTTGAGGTCTCCCTTTGGGAAGCAACGCCTGGGAATCTGGAACAAAGTGCCAGCTCCACGTGTTCGGTTAGATCCTGGATACCATGAAGCACGTGCGCTGGGTACTTCTGCTGCGTGAGCTAAAATAGAGCTAATGGCTTGGCCCTGCTGCAGAGGGGCCGTGGCTGAGCCCCTGTGGGCTTGTTGGAGAGGGGCTGCAGTCTTCTCCTGACGCCTGACCAGCATCGCCTGAAAATGGCAGGGAACATATTGCCAGAGCTAATCCAGGAGAGGGAGATACTCACTGCCTCCGGAGGGAGTCATGTCCATTTGATGCTTTTATTACTTCTTGAGGCTATTATTAATTTTATTGTATCACTTTTCATAATTCACTTGTTCTTTTGAAGCAGTGAAACAGGCTAATGCTCTACAGGGCTCTCAGGCAGTGGCTGTTTGGGGTTCTTTTTTTACCCTTAACAGTCTGCAGAGACCATTGAAGAAGGCACTCAGCATAAAATCCTTTGCCCTTTGTCTAACTGGGACAGGGAATATTTAATCTACTGGCAGCCAGGCAGAGGTGAGCTGGGACTGAAGTTACCAGAAGCAGCCAGGTCCCTTTCATGTCCAAAGCAATGTCCTCCTTGGGTCCCTGACTCCCATGGGGCCCTTTTGACTGTTTCCTGCCCCCTGCTTCCACCAAAGAGCATGTTACTCACTTGTAGACAAGGACTTTTCCGGGTTAATCCCAAAAGCCGCATTGCAGCCTCCCCAGGCCAGTCACTGAGCAAGCAGGGGCTAAGAGAAGGACAGCCATGGTGTGGCCATCTGAGGACTTCATCCAAAGGTGAACTGCTTCCCACTTCAAGTCAAGAGTCATCCCACCAGCAGATACTGGCTTGCCTATTCCCAGGCAGTTGGTCCCTACACTTGCCACACATTCAGGTTATCTCTGCGACTCCTGAGGCAAACTGGTGGATGATGAGCATCTAGGGGAAAGCCTAAATGAACCATGGAAAGCAATGTGCAATAACAACAATAAGCCACTACTGCCTAATCCAGCCCCTCTTCCCAGTTCAAAGCCCTTTATAGCCATGCCTTGGTGCAAATCCCTGCAGAGTCTCTGCCCAAGCTGGAATGTGGAGCAGGGAAGCTATGTGACATCTCCAGCTCACGGCTCCTCCTGGCCATGACCCCAAAGGGCTCCTGAGTCCAGGAAAGGGGGGAAGGGGGCCTTGATCGCCAAGCACCTGGGTGCAGTGAATTAAATGAGCTATCCTGGGCTGCTCTAGCAACTAAGGAGTCCAGAGGGACATGCATGTCTGCTGGAGCTGAAAGCCC